GCTGTACTCCAGCTAAAAGGTTGACAGAAACATACAGCCTTGGTTTATAGCCTCATTCTTTGATATTGGACATCCATGTTATGATCAATTGACACCTGTCAAAACAAGGTATCCGCTGACCAGTAATATGTGACCATATCGTGGGCTTGAGTTTAGGGCTCATCAAGGTCGCATGTTTTTTTTAAAGTTGACCACTGACCAAGTGCTGGTTTTCTATTGGATTGCGGGTTCATGTCAGGTTAACTTGTTGTAAATGGGACTGGGTTGTTTGGGAGCCAGTTAACGCTAACCCAGGATTAAAGTTAACAGAAGTATAAATATTTCTTTTATACAAATGTTTTTCATTGCTTTTGTCTTATGCATTTTGAGATTATTCAAACTCAAAACAGAAGGCCAAACAATATACAGAAAACCTCACTGCAGAGTTACAAAATTCAAATCAAATTTCTCGCTTAACCCAGGAGCTCTGCTTTTAGGCTTGGCTAAATCTATATTATGTATACTCTTACACCCTTTTGAAAATCTACATTGCCTTTATTAACTTTTGTAAAATATCATCTGCTGTACAAATGGATTTTTTTTTACAATCACTTTGTACTGTACATCTGTGTAGTATCCAGAAATGGAGGTTTAGAAACTTAGAGATAACAGCGGGAAACATACATAGTGAAAGATCAAGGAGAATCAGAAATAAAACAGAAAAAACTGAGCAAAGCCAGTTGAAGGAAACAACACAAGTTACAAATCGTACACAAAATAATTATTGTTCTGTTCAGTTTGTCATATATCCAGAGCAAATTGGCAAGTTTCTATTTCTTGTGACTGTGATCAAGTTGGTGAGAGATGCCAAGTTGTCTGGAAATGTGAATCATTCCATCCATCACATTATCAACCAGTCTAAAAAGAAAGAAATAAGGCGTTTATGAGAAAAAAAAACTATTAATGCGAACTTACAAGATCCATATAATTGTAGAAAGCCCACCCATCCACATTTTTGTGCTGTCATATATTGTCAGCGGAACAACATGTTTGGTAGGTAAGGTTATACAATGAATGGTGCTGTCCCCTGATCACTTGCTGAGACCACGTGAATGCTATTGAATAAAGGAATTTTTTCCTGTATTTGTTTGATCGACCATGTAAGAGAACTGCTTTTGCTCTTGGCACCCTGCCAACTTAAACAAATGGTGATGTTGGCTTGCTGTTACCAGTTTATATTCTTGGGTGAAAAGAGCCTCTATAAGAGTAAAACACTTTAAATTCATGTCTAAGTCCTCTCATCACTGTGCCTTTAAATTCAGTTATTTAATGCCACCCACCTATCAATAGGTTTGATAATAACAGGTATTGCACTCAGTCCTGCAAGGGTAGTCACCCACATCTGAGCACGAGGAGGCATTGTTCTAGAACATCTCTTCAGTGTGAACCTGGAGGCAGCGCAAATCCTGTTGATTGTAAAGCCTGGTATAATCACAGATGCCAGCCCCTGCCACACTGCTGCTTCCACCATGGTTTCAATAGCTTTCCGTTTCTGAAGATAGCTGTTCAGATGGCTGCTCTCCTGGTAGCAGCGTCTCCCTTTGTCAATGGAGTCTGCCAGGCAGTATGTTGAGGCGACGCCATAGCTACCTAGGTAAATAAATCGAGGGATGTGTGTGCGAAATGCCTCACCAAATTCATTGGCATATCCTGTTGAAAGGAACACCCTAAGTAAGAAATTAAACATGACTAACTGTGGTAAAAAAATCTTTAAGTCAGATAACAAACACAGTATCAGAAATCAGAAATGAAACAAAAAAAGGTTGTGAGACTTGGTTAGCTTTCTCACTCATTAGCCAATAAGTGTGCATACAATCATGTAACACAAAGGAACTTTTGAGCCCCTGGGAATAAGGCAGAACAATGAAAATAAAAATTGAATGGCCCAGCTTAAATCGAAACAAAATTTTCTCAACTCAGCTGCACAGGTTGCAACATTTTTGCAAGCAAACCATTTTTCTTGAGAAAAAGATTTCAAAACATTTAGAGCTAAGAGGTATAAAATTTCAAAATATTGTTTAATTCCTTGATATGATTCCCTTCCAAAGCCTGTTTATGTGAGGCTAAAAATGCAGTCAGTGTAAAAATTTAATGCAGACTACAGACTACATACTACAGACTGGGGGTAAAATGCAGACTGAAGACTTTTTGAGTCTATATTGTGTTATTTCCATTTTTCAATGATGGAAATGGTAACATACTTGAGTTAAAATAATGGTCTACAGTCTGCAATCTGCATTTTAACCCCAGTACATCCATAGTCTGCAATTATCAGTTAATGATATAATCATTGAAGGTGAAGAATGCAAGTGAATATATCAAAGATCATATATTTGAACTGAGTCATGAGACATTTGACAAGGACATGATTGATCCTCGCAGTTATGTTCACAACTTAAGCAGCTGCGAAATTAAAGCCTGAAAAAAATTCAGGCTGGAATGGAATTGCGAGGGTGATTGCAAGGGTCATGGGTTTGAATCCCGTTCAAGCCTTAAATTTTATTTCTTTTAGGCTTTAATTTCACAACTGCTTATTAAGTTTTGTTCGTAACTGCCATGATCATTCATAACCTCCACAGTTCATAGTATATTCACTTGAATCAATGCCTTCTTTGTTTCTGATCTCTATAATGTCATGGCTACTGAATTACTCTCCAACAAAATTAATAAATGTGTTTTTGTTACCCTTCTTAGGCTAACAAGTAGCAACTTTACCACTTTAAAGGACTGTTAAGTGCTGGTCTTTTTTAAAAAAGGTCACATCAAACCAGTGGCAGGTTAACAAGCCATTGGCACTCCTGCCTAAATTAGATCTTAATTTACTCAAAAGAAAAAAATTAGAAATTGTGTCATTTCACGCCTTTATAAGTCCTCCACTGGCACAAAAGAAAAGGGTTAATAGTTCACTGGTTTAGCAGGTGTCTACAAGAAGAGTATTTTTTTTTCTATAAACCAACAGCATTCAGAACCAAGTATAAAGAAAATCACAGTGATTCAAAGCTTTATACAAGCACAATATAACAGCCCTGACTAAGAGCACTTATACACTTTACGACAAAAATATCACTGCAGTTTTTCAAACAGTCAGTGAAATTAGATATATAAAAGACTTTGTTTAACAAACTATGAATTCTTAATAAAGAAACCTGTTAACTATTAATGCATCAATGACCCAAGTTTCTTCCATCTTGTGGCAATGGTCAAACAATTGAATTGAGTGGTAATTGTGTGATAGTTAAAATAAACACCTGCTATAAGGTTGTCTCAAACACTGGCCTTGTGTTGGGTGCCAACCCCTTGGAACCATGCATGAGCAAATAAAATTGTTTTTAAAAATAGCCTGCTCTTGCTGTGGTCATTGATCACAAACACAGGAAACCAGTGAACAACACTGTAAACCAGTCTTACTTGATAACACGGGAATGAAAACACACTTTTAGCACTGGGGAGCTGCCAAAGTTTGCTGCTGCGAAGTAATACCAAGTTTAAGTGAACATTCAGTGGAAAACGCTTGCTCAAAGGTTGCTTCAAACATGGCTTGTATTTGATAACATGAAGGTAAGTGGTGTTTTAGGTCTTGTTTGCACAAGTGCTGTGCCAAGTCAACACTTGTGTTATCTACAGTTGGTTGACTTTATTTACATTGAAAGATTCCATCCTTCACTGCTCCTAAGTAGAAAGAGTCGTCATCCATGACTGCTTTAAGAGAACAAGAGTCAAAGCGTAAAGTTCACTTAAAACGCTCTGCTACACAAACAAATCCTGGCACACCATCCAGATCTTAAGATGTTGCTTTTTAGCTCCTAACAAGGATTAGTGAAGGTCATACTTGAGAGATTCCTGAGTTGAACAGGTGATAATAACTGAAGCCTTTTGGTATAAAAAGTAATTATCCAAGTTGTCTTAAAAATATGTCACATAAAAAATGTCCTGTTCTTTATACCAAGACAATGAAACCAGGACCAAACTGAAGACATAAATCAACTTCTTTTCAAGTAGATAAAGTTGGAAGAGTTCAGCTTCAAGGAACTTGAGTGTTTTAAACACTAAACAGGTANGGGACAAAACTCTTAGGACAATTAACACGCTATGCCTTAATTTCTCCTCCTTTCCCCCTCGCCCCCAAGCGATGTTGTAGTTTGTGCAGCCCAGTACACTTTAGCACGTCCTGAAAGTGTTTCGTCACCCCAACATTATTTGGAGGGGGGAGGGAAGGGCCATTCTCGGTATCCACGTGGTAAGATAAGTTCATATTACGCTACATCTGATTATTTGATAAGTTAAGGATGTGGAAGCAAGGTTTTCCATAACTGTTCCAAGGATTTTTGTCCTCCATTGAAGATAGAACTAAATAGTCCTCCAGAAATAGCGGCATAAAATTTGTCATGACGATTTTATTGCAATAAATGAAGCACTCACCTAGATATCGTAACACCGTATCCCTGAAAACATCGACTTCAGATCCTTTGACATTGGAAAAGTCTTGTTGTTGTTGTTCTTCCATTGTTCATTCGCCATCTTGTTTTCCTGCCATTTGTTCTGTAGTAACCTCGTTTCCATGGGGTAAGTCTCTCTTCCAAGTTCGGAACGAGGACGAGGTTGTCAGTTACCATTCCAACCAGCCAATCAAAAGACACTTGCCGGGTAAACTTCACAACGAGAAGTGTTTGGATCATTGTTTTGGACGCAACGAATTTTGTCAGTCTGCAGAATTCAGCGTAGTTTTCCTTTGCTAAAGCTCATTTTTCAGCGGTATTTTCTAAGTTTTACGTTAGTTAAAATATATATCTACCTCAAATCGAAAAAACCAGTCGGCCCGAAGGATCAACGCACATGGAGACTCAAAGTGTTCATTTCGATAGCTTACGGGTTCTCCCTTTTAAAACTTCTCCTGTACTTAGAAGAGAAGGTTTGCGAGAAATTCAAGATTCTCGTTTGAGAGTGGAGGAGGTAGGACGTTTTCAAATAGCTAGTAGAATCGTAGGAAAGCGTAGCTGATTTTTACGATCAAAATTCGTTCCATGGGCTCTACATGTATGTTTTTCCAGTTAGCTAGCCCAGCTAAGCCATGATCATGCATAAGGAAGCTTACAGTTCTCAAATAGTTGATGTCGTAGTTAAGCTTATTAAGCTTCAATCACAGTTTCTTTGTTTGTTAAAAAAATTACTTTAACTATTTCTCCAAGGGTAAAGGTATATTTGAAGATTCTGCATACTTCAGCAATTTCATAGATACCAAGGCATATTTTTAGTTATGACTTATGAATTATAAGTAACTGTCACAACTGTGAGTCGTAAAATGTATGTTGTTGTCTGTATTTTGTGACTTGGGAAGCTGATTAAATTTTCAACCATATAAAAACAGCTTAATTAGTTAATATACTCATGAACAGCAAAATCTGTAGATATTTTGGATATGTATAGCCACTGACTAATCACTGTCATCAATATAGCTGTTTTGTTTGAATCTGACACATTCTTTCTTGAGCAAGGGAAATTATCAGTGAATGTGTATGGGATTAGAGATTAGTTGAATGAGAAATTTTCATTTACAATAAATCGTCGCCTAATTAGGCAGGTATTCTTACTAGTTCTATCAAGTACAAGCTATTATTTACATATGCGATAATGTATTTTCAGAATGGGAACGAAAGAAAACAAGAGACGCCTGGGGAGGACACTAGCCAGATTAAAAAGCAATCAAGCGATGAAACGACTAAATATACACAGGACAAGGTTAAACGAAAGGGACCAGACTTCAGTGTATTTACAACAGCCGAGGCTAATCATTCAGCACTTGACAATTCAACTGCCAGCAAAAATGCATTAATGGAAATCAAAGCTTCCAATGCCGTGGCATTCCACATTCCCATTGAACAATCGGTGTGCAGGCCACCTCCAAAACGGTTCTGTGACCAGGTCAAGTCAGAAAGAGAAAATATCAGTATTGAAAGGCTCACAGAGAAACAAAAAATGGCAGAAAAGAGAAAGAAAGTGAGTAAATTCAATTGACACAACATACATACATGTGCTTGTACATATCTGATGTGATAAAACAACTAATAATTTGGTCACACTTTTTCAGGTAATTCTGTGACAAACTTGTGGTCAAAGACGGGTTTGAAATGATATATTAAATCACAAGTTAAAATAGTGCTTATATATGCCACTGAGGGGGAGTGTGACAGAATTTTTTTTTCATAATGGTTAGCAAACAATTTCCATTTAACTTCCAAATTAAATTCTTACAGTCAAAACAGCTCAAGCGTTCCTGCCAAGGGTGAATGAATGAGTTCATTATCAGAAATTTGATTTCATTACTCGTTTCAATAGTCCGTTCTTCAAGTGAAGAGTAGAAAATGTAAAACGAGACTCAATCCAATACTCAAATTTTGATTGGATTAATGAACAATACGCTTATACCACATTTGGAATGCTAAGCACCAGGACTTCTCCTGTAGTGGCGGGAAAGATATCAAAGATGGCTGACATCGAAGCAAGTTTTATGGAAGGGACAGGAAAGGTAAGTTTGCATCAAGATACCTAACTATTTTTGAAGAGGTTCATGTTAAATAAAGTTCATTAATCCAATCAAAATTCGAGCATTGGATTGAGTCTTGTTTTGAATTTTCTACTCTTCACTTGAAGAACAGACTATTGAAACAAGTAATGAAATCAAATTTCCGATAATGAACTTATTCATTCACCCTTGGCAGGAACACTGAAGACGAGATCTGGTCAAATCTGATTTTCATTACATGACGGCCTCACAGTGATAGCATGTCATACATGCTGGAATGATAATCATGGTGGTTGGTTATACAGCCTGCAGGGCTGTTGCTTAACAGAACTGCTGCTTCAGAATGATGGAAAAACAGAGGAAAAAATAGGCATTTTTTAGACACATCATATCCATATATGTTACTAGTCTTCTGTAAATTTAAACTGACTGCATATCCTTTGCTTACACAGCAACATGTGGAGCAGAGACTGAAAAGAATTCATGATCGACAAGAAGCTGCTAGAAAGCTTGCACATAATGTTGAACTACTCCTCCAACAGAAGTCCCTTATTGGTGATGGAGGAGGCATCAGTCACAATACACCTAAAATGACATCTTCTGAACTAATGACTACAGCTCGTCATGTTGCAAAAGATTTTAGAACCTTGACGTGTCAAATGACAAAAGATTTTGCTGTGGATGACAAGAACAATAACTTGTCAAAGGGATGTGAAAGTCGAGTCATGCCTTCATACCAGAAAGAAAAACTCACTAGTTTGGCAAAATCTTCCAGTAACGACAACAACAGGAGTGTTGCATTTACTGTTGGCTTTGATGAGGACAAACAACCTGTAACCCCAATTCCCAAAGCATTACAAGTGCCATGCAGGAAAGACAGAAGTAAACTGACAGCTCAAGAATTAGATGAGAAGCTAAGGAAGGCTGCAGAAAGAAGAAATGTAAGTCAAGTCACCATGTTGTTAGTATATTATGCAGTATAAAATCTATGATCAAGTTTACATATTACATACTGTACTTCAATGAGTGTACATTATTACATTTATGAAATTAATAAAAATAATTAAATGATAAGTTAGTAAAGAATTTTATGCAGAAGAAACAAAAAAATCTAGTCCTCAACAGGATTCAAGCCCATGAGTCACCTCCTAGTTCCCCATCAGACATTCTGACTACACTGTAGAACTAGTCCAATCAGCTACTGAGTTGACTGTCAAAGTGAATCAAAACTCGATGTATTCTATAGAGGATATTACATGGCAGTGTGAAAATATTGTTTTTAACACAGGAAAATAATTGCGTTTGACAGAACCNAAAAACAAATTCTTCAGGGGCGAATGGTGTCATGTCCATGTTCGTCCATGTGCTTTCTTTCGAGTGTTGCACAATATTGCAGACCGGTTTCGAGTGTCAAGGAAGCTTATTGTGGACTGTAGCGGATACTGAAGTTGTTTATTTAAAGTTCAAAGTCAGTGTTAATGGCATTTAAAAACCTTGTAGACATGTCTTCACAAAATTTGTACGACTTTTTGAGGCAGCTTATTGAAGACTGTAGTGGATAAGTTGTTTATTTAAGTTTGAAGTCAGAGTTAATGGCATTTAACAGAAAGCTGTAGGTTGGCTGCATGTTGTGTACCCTCTTCTCTTCAACCGAAACCAGTGCTGCTTTCTGCTGAATAAATCAAAGGAGGAAATGAGTTTCACTTCACTGCCTAGATTTCTGTGCGCAAACTATGTAACGTTAACCCAACGAAAGTGTTTACATAGGATATGAGTTCAACTCCCACAGGGTTACTTTGGTACACAAACATGTCCTCCGTTACATTGTTTCATTGTTTTTGTTTCATTGCCCTGTAGCTGGTACCCCAAAGCCAAGGCGATTCAAAGTCGTGTTCGTAAACAAAATAATTGTCCTAGTTTTGGTACTAAAAGCACGTCGTCTTGCATAGCGATGGAACAAACATGGTTGGTGTCGATTTACNGATTCAAAGTCGTGTTCGTAAACAAAATAATTGTCCTAGTTTTGGTACTAAAAGCACGTCGTCTTGCATAGCGATGGAACAAACATGGTTGGTGTCGATTTACATGGTCAGTATAAAACATGTACTGCGGACTGCGAACTGCAGACTACGGACTACGGACTGGATATAAAACACAGATTAATGTATAATATTACACAATACATGTATAAATGAGAACAAACCCTCTCGTATGCACGTGCTTTGCAATCAATTCATTTGTTTTTGCCCCTGCTGAAGGGAGACCAATTTCATCCCTACCTAACAGCTCAGGCACAAAATGCTTTCCCTAGAATTTTCGTTTTTTTTAACATACCAAGCCTACCAAAAATCGAACACACTCTTTAATCTACAATTACTACTAGTTATATTTATATCTACATTCAAGCGACCATGCAATTTTCTTTTTATCATATAAACAAATGGACTGTTTGCACAAGCAACTGTGAAAGAGCAGGAAATGATGAAGTGAATGTTATTAGTGGTGTATTTTCCCATAAAACACTTGGTGTCTTTTCTATCTTTATACTACAGCATAAACAGCAAGAGAGAGTAAAGCAAGTCAGAGCTAACCGTGAAGCACTATTTAAGCTGGCCTCTGATCTGGAGACATTCATGATATGGAATGATGCTGAAAGAACTGAAGGGCATCAACAACACCAGGCAAGGCAACTTGCAAATGATATTGCAGATGGCTTTGACAGATTGAGTCAGAGGTATTCAAGAGATTTACAACGAGCTGAAGGTTTTTCAAGCATCTTGTGGGAATCAAAGAAATTATAAAAAAAAAAATACTACTGAGCAAAAGTAAAGCCCTAAGTTATGTAGTAATCACTTTTTCCCTATGAATTATTGTCTGGGTGCAACAGACAGTGAACACTTGCTTAAATGTGCAAATTACTCACTCAGGTATTGATTAGAACTACTAGATGTTTATCTCAATGTTGCAAAAATAATGTGTTAGAGACAGGAAGCAGTGGTGTTATTTTAAAAACAGGATGTAAAGTTAATACCTGCAAAGATTGCAGGATGAAAGTGATCTATAATCCAGAATAACCACTAAAATCATTGAGATTTTAGGATTTGAGTTTTTGACAATGGTCATTTGTAACCAGGATAAATCAAAATGTAATAAGTGTTAAAATGCAATTACTCAGTTTAAAATTATTGTTATCTTAGTTTAAAATATCCACCTATTAATGCTTTCTGTGTGTGCACAAGGTACAATACATTACAATGACTGTAAAATAATATTATTTGACATATCCCTAGTAGTATTTCTACACAAACCGGGTACAGTTTCTTTCCAAACCAATACATTTTATTAAGATTTCTTTCAATAACATGCAAAACCTCAATTTCAAATTCAGCTGACAATTGCCAAGAGTAATTTAACAGGACAATGACCAAATAACCCTGAAAAAGAAACCAAAAAAGCTGGATCAAAATTCACAAATATTATTGTAAACCAAAGGTTGACTTCAGAGATTGCATTTTATTGAAAGGCTCTGTAAGAGTGTTTATTGCAAGTAGCATTTTGCTTGTTGCATTTGTACTAATACATGAAAGCTGACCAAGAATGTAGAATCTGTTTGCCATAGTTGCTCAGTGCTGATTGAAAGAAACAACAAAGTTTAGTTTTGTTGATCAATTCTATTACTAATTGTGTCTAGAGTAAAATTCAAATATTCATTTTGATGTCACTTTTGTGTCTGTAAAATATATTACTTTTACTAGAGAACACTTCCGAGCTCAGAAAAAAAGTTTAAAGGTTCATAATTGATTGTATTATATGTGTAAAAATGTTAATATGACTTTGCAGTGTGTACAGTTGACGAAAGAGTGAGATGAATCTTTTCTTTGAATAAAGTCTGTACAGATAAATAAATGTGTTTAGATTTATGTCTTCAAATATTGTACCAACTGAAGATAAACAGGACAGAGTAGAGCACTAGCTGTTCTACTGTTTAACTTACATTAAATTAAAGTTTGTAGCCACTTTATGCAGTAACATAGGTTGACATGCAAATTGAATGATGCAAGCCACTGGTTCTTAATAAGTTGTTGACCCTGCTCAACAAATGATCAATAAATGTACATAATAATTGAAGAAAGCAGCCTTCTGTTGTTTTTAATATTTCAACTAGAAACAAGGAACAGTTATTAGAACCATGCTGTTGCCACTCAGAATACATTTTGTAGTTTTTTGTTAGTTTCTAACATTCTTTGTACAAAGTTCTGATTGTTTTCATTTTGAACATTAGACCAATTTATTTTAGTGTTGACACCATAACTTACTGGCAAGTTGCATCAGCTCCAAGCCCAAACTTCTCAGTTTGATTGCACAAACGCAGCAGTTCAACGGTGACAAGATTTGATAAGTCAACAATCAAACATGCCCCTCAAAGTAGTTGCACTTTGTTTGCTGTCCACACCGTCTTGTGTTGTGAGAAATGTTGTCAGGTTCACACATGGTTTTGAATATATTCTCTACATTGCACACAGTTGGGTGCTCAACAGTGTTCAAATGTTATTATAACAAATATGTAACAAATAGAAGCCATGTGATATCTCCATGAGAAAAGACTTATTCATTCCTTTATACTACAGTCTGAAAGTTTCAGTAGGCTTCTTCTTTGAATAGACTCTAACCCACACTATTAAAATAAGCAGAATCATAAATATTCCCTATACAACCCTTTGCATTGTATATTGTACATGTAAGGTCAGACTTTGGCAGTCATATTTTCCTGCTTTGTTCTGGATGGGATTTCCCAGGCACGAAATCAACATTGTTTACATACTTGAGTTTATCAGGTCCCCATGATTCAAACACATTCTCCTCATTGTTGTCTGGCTCATCATAAATAGTTGATATAATGACATTTCTTTCAGCTCTTGGTCGTTTCACTTGTCGCTGTAACTTTTCACCATAGTAGCCTAAGCCTTTCTTGGACTTTGGCAGTTGTCCTTCAGCAATAACAGGTTCCGTTATCCCCACCTGGGACAACCCAAGGCTTCCCCCTTCCTTCCACCCTTGCTTTCTCATCAGCTGGCCCCCAAATCCTCTGGTATATTTCTCAAAACCTCCAATTTTATTCAGGTCAATATCATTCCCTTTTCTCCACTGCTTTTCTATTCGCATCTGAAGAAGGTCTCGGGAATCTTTGTCTCCCCCGTCTGCGTGCAAAAGAGAAATAATCATTTCCCATCTAAAAAGAACTGAATTATGTAATATTTAGTATAAATATTCAGCATACTTTCAGGTAGCCTGTGAACTCAGTCTTTGTGGTTGTCACTTGTCTCCGCTGATTTTTTCGGTTGAGACAAGCAGCAGCTGAAAATATGTCTGCATTTGCAGGCTAGCTTTCAGGTATCTGTTAGAAAACTGTCAATCAAGAACTCTTTACTGGTTGGCCAAGTGTCAAAGTTGCATTTCATATAATTTATTATTAATAATAAATTGATATTAGTACACGCACCTGGATTTTCATAGATTTCCATGTCCACATCCCAATCGTCAGCAGTCTCCTCATCAAAAGTTGGTTCCTCCTGTTCTTTCCAGAATGCTGCATCAGTATAAAACACAAGACCACTACCGCCTTTCTCCCACTTCAGTTCAATATCCTCTTCAAACAGTCTCTCTTTTGTTCGTTCTTGACTTGTAACATCATTGTGCAATGATTCATGTCTGTCCCATTCCTCTACATCACTATCATGATCAGCCTCAATCTTGTCAAGTTCTTCACAGTCAGAACCATTTTCACTGTTACACTGTTCTGATGTCTGAAACTCCAGCATTTCTAGACTACATGCAGACGATGAAGGGTCATTTTCCTTGGATCCACCTTGCATGCAGTCCGTTACTGTACAAGGAACCAGCTTTCTTTTAGGTCCTCTTGCAGCTGAAGTGCGATCTTTTTCCAAAGATTTATAATCAAGTGGAACATTGCTGTATTTCTTTTTAGACTGGCCCGCAGCAAAATTTAAGTCTAGTTTTTTTATGACATGGGGAGGGAGCTTGCAAGTTCTTATCAACTCCATGAATACCAACAAAGGTGTTCCAACATTACCATTTGGCATCAGTGGAGGAGGGTGCAGCTCTTTCAGTTCGTTAAGGTCATGGTGTGAGAATTCTAAGTTTGTCCTTGTAAAAGAATGTTGACTCTTTTCCTGCCTTGTTCTATAGGAGAGGTCTAAAGTAAGAAAGGGAAATGTTAGAAGTCTGTAAAATCTCCTTACAAAGGAAGAAACCATAAATTAAAAACAGCCATCATCGGCCTCCATCAGTCAGGGTCAACCAAGGAAACAACCAGCATGACCAATAAATAAAAAGTTGATGTGTGGTTCCAGAAAATATTCATATGTATCCACTTCAAGCAGGGTTACTGGACATTTCATGGCGGAGGGAAGTCACAAAAGCCAAAATTCTCAAAGGAAAGTGTGAACCACAACTGGAATTTCCAAAGGGATGGAGGGGTTGGGGTCAAACCAAAAAACCATCCAGGGGAAGGGCATAAATATTTTCTGGAACAATCAATGAATATTATTCTTTATTATAAAACAGCCCTCAAAAATATGCATACTGAATCGTGTTTCTGCAACTCGATAGAAACACAGAACTAGCATAAGCTGTTGACAATGATGGCGTGTGCAAAGAGTATTTACATTTTGATGATTAAAGTAAACAAGTTGTTTTCCTTTTTTTCATTGCAGTGTTTTCTAAAAGAAATAGAAAACATGTTCTCCGTGTTTCTATCAAGTTATAGAAACACTTGTGAAAGTTTGGGAGAACTCGAAAAAGTTGTGGAAACACTCGGCTGTGGCCTCGTGTTCCCACAGCATTTCTCGTTCTCCCAAACTTCCACTCGTGTTTCTATAACTCCATAGAAACACAGTACATGTATAATCTCTAGCAAATAAGTGACCAAAAATGAAATTTATGACCAATTAATGAATGAAAATAATTACATTGGTAACTTTCAACATCATTGGTTTTCATTTCTTGTTATTGCATGGCAACCGTCAATATCCAAGGTATTATTTCTCCCCATTATTTGACACATACACATAAGACACACAACAATTTGGTTCAAATTCCATGGTATACCATGAGAAAGCTGCAAACACAATCAATGCAGCATACACACAGGCTTCACTCCAAATGCCTTTGAACTGGCTTCATATTGTCTACAATAATCTCTATCAGTCAGCAGTTGTTCAAATAGTCATTTTCTGCTTCATTTTTGATATCAATAAAGCCCAAGTAAAAATTTGGCCCTGACACAACTGAGTGACAATCCTGGAAAGAAACTGGAAATGGCGCTGCTTACTCAATTTCGGACAGGAATAAGAGTGCAGTGCACAGTGGGAAGCTTAGGTGTAATTATATCGTTGAGCATGCAATGGCTTTCTTGTGTTCTGATTGGCTGTATTTTTTATGGCATGGTATAAAAAGTATTATTGCAAGTAAATACGAACCTTTTCCTTCTTTGATTCTAATTTTTGATATCACTGCTTTGGAAGGAAAATATTTTCCATTACGGTCAACCCAGTTTTTACCGTGATAACTCTTGATCAACTCTTTCAGTTTTTTCTTTAAGATCATTACAACACAGCATGTAGTATTGGATGACTGGACCTCTTTATCTTCGCCATTTGTCTCTACTTCGCATCTAAACTCAGGACGATGTCGAAAGTGAAAGCATTTGAATCCCTCAGTTTCGCCATTAATGAAGTTTGAGAACATTGCTCGTAAATCAGCCGAGCGGAATTCTTTCGGAATATTGCTAACAATTCCATAGCAAGCTTCCCCTTCTCCTTCAGTTGATATCTCGTTATTTAAGTTTTCCATCGCGTGAAATTCTTGTACTACACATAGTATTATAGTAAAGCAAGTAAACTACAGTTAACAGTTATTTTTCGTCGTTCTTTTAGTCGTTCTTTCGAAGACGTCCATGTAGGCGGCCATTTTGTATGTAAGGGTGGAAAAGCATCATGGGTATTGCCTGAGTAACCTGGCCTGCCCTTAGTTACAGAGGTAAATAATTGTCTAATTTGTAGCTTCAGTTGGGGAATCTTCAACAAAATGCCGATCACTAAACAGCCCAAGAAAAACGAACCGTTGTGGAGAGAATGGGATTATAAAGCACAGAAGAAAGGCGTTCATCACACGGTGTATTCAGTAAATGGCGATCGATACACTGGCGAATGGGATAATAATCAGAAGAATGGTGAGTCGCTCGCGCGCGGCCGGTTTTGTATTCGCACGTTCGGTATTAAGCTTACTTCTTCTGTTAAATACTATAGGCATCTGATTTTATTCCAATCTCCCTCTAAACCAGCTTTACCAGGAACATGCCTCCAGAAATTTTGAATGTAAATTCATGGCCATTCATCAGTTGTTTCCCGATTAATTAATAAAAACTTATTCTCGGACGATGCTTCTGAGTCTGTTACTGGCTCTGATGAAAGAGTATTTTAAAAAGCTAAAACTCCCGCTAAGAATGTGTTTTCATGTCGCAAGATATTCTGCAGGCTTAGAATGGTGAATAAACATGAACTCTCTGAGCTAGTTAACTTATATTTCCACGGTATTGCAATCCAATTGACTGTTCACATATTCAGCATTTTCTCTGAAGATAGACATGTGCATATACATGGGGGCCGTGTATGTGATAGGCTCGATTACCAGCCGCTGTTCGGGAAAAGAGCCCGCACTCCTCCCCCGAACTCACGGCTGGACTCGTGGACTTGGCATTGTTAATTTCAACCAATAAGAAATCTGCCTGCCTGAATCGAGCAGGCTGCATAAATTAGCTTTCTCGCAGTAGCAAAGGAGTTGTTCGATATGAAGTGCGATCACATTAGTGGGATATTTAACCAAATACTGTCAACTGATGAAATCTTGCCTG